GTTCGCCTTACTGATTTAACTAAGCAGTGAGAGGTTAACTTGGCACATACAAATCCACCTCTTTTCGTGACTTATGTGTCTTATTTTTGTAGTGCCATTACATACTGTACAAAGTAAATGCTCAAGGCCTACTAAGTAGTCGGTCCTGACAAAAAGGTTTTGAAGTAGCACAAATGTCACTAGAAACTTACATACTTTGCCGACCAAATAACGTTTCATCCCATTCTACTCAAACAATCCGCGCCATATGTCTGCAAGTCAGAAAAGACCAAGAAGAAACAATAAAATAAGAGGTAAGGGAAAACCTGCAAAGATGACATGAGCGTATGTGCTCTTCCAGTTCATCCAACCTGGGATAGTCTGCGTAGCATTCTGTGCAGTAAGGGCTCACCTTTGAATCATCCGTGCTTTGGACTGCAACATATAACAGTGAAACATAAAGTTAGGAAGACTTCCCGTTAGACGACAAAAGTATGGCAGAGCATCTGAGCACATTAGACTCAGTCGGATCTGAAGGAAGCAAACTCACAAATATGTGCTTCAATGAAGTGACAGAGCATTGAATCGAAGGTTGGAAATCGCTTTTTGCACATACAGCACAACCTGTGATTAGAGGCTATTTTAAGGGTTAAATAAAGTAATCTTGTTACATTTAACAAACGCGAGGACAAAAAGCAAGAATAGTGGACATATTTCGTAATTTTCCTTACCTTGTTGATGCGGTAACGCCGATCCGGTGGTTTCACGCCAAGTTGAGCAAGTCGAGCAATAACCATTTACATTACTGAAAAGGCAAATATATTTGAAATAAGATTTCGAAGTCGTCTTGCTGGGTGCAAAAGTGATACCACATTTGAGCTGACCGAAAAACCAGGATCTGCATATTTTAACCACCTGTTGTGCAAAGCAAAATTTGGCCTGCTCGGTACTTTAATCAATGAGCTGACGTGAAAAAACCCCATGCACATATATGCACACACAGACGCATGCATACATATACATAGTTGTATAAATAGGGAGATGCATCTCAAAAAATGGAAGGCACCTACTTTGATGCTCACGGAACAGGTGTGCTCGATATAGAGTGCTGGTTCGTAATGGAGCGGAGCACAATGAACATTTTAAGGGAACCATTTTGCGCGGAAGGCAAGATGCGTGAAACCTTGCAACAGGGTTTACACTGCATTCAATCAAAAATAATGGCCGGCTGAATCTGTCCTCAGCTTTATGTGTGATTAAAATGCGGAAGAGCGTGAGTCGCATACTTGACCAAAAATTTTGCGCGAAACAGGCACGCGAGTAAGGTTTACAGCACTTCACTTGCTCTTCTGTGTCTTCAAACTACAAGGTTTATTTTAAAATTTGCCTCCATCCGACTAGATGAAATATTAGTAAGGAGAAAGTACAATAAAATAAACATTCCACAGATGTCCTACCACTTTTTTCTTACTAAGGAGGAAATTATTTTGCTCATTTGCAAAGAATTGGCACAAAACCACAGGGTGAAGAATTGTCGTTACAAGGCCCTCAGTATTTACGTTTGAATGAAGGTGTGCGCGATTCCTACTGATGGCTCTGCGCTTGTTAGCTTTGATGGACACCTTGTGCTGAGAAGGTTGCTTCATATGGAACGCAAATTTTTGATCCCTGACTATTCGTGACTATCTATCCGTGATGCTAATTGGACAGGTACGGCACGATATTCGAGTAATAAATCCACCTAATCAGGGAGAAGCTGCTCATCTGGATCTACATTACCACACTCTGATTGTCGATTCGATGAGATTCGTCAGGCAGGACTAGTTTGCTGGTAGCTAGAACCGGGTCCAAATATTAAATCTACTGCAGTAAATGGAGCTATTTTTTAGCAGAAAAGGTCTTTTAAACTGCAAAAGTGGATCTTATGCTTCAGTGATTGCAGTGCATTCTGGATCTGCGAGCTATTTCTGGGGAAATATTGTTTTTTGTGATAAACTAGGCCTGTAATTATAGAAATGGAGCATTTTTTACGAGTTTTGATCAGTAAAACCTTGGGGTCATAAAGTAGTAAAACCCCACCGTACCACACTACGACGCGTCAAAGTCACATTAAGATAAGTAATTTCTCCATTGTCAACCATCATCGAGAGCTACCAATAAAACCAAACTATATCACTGAAAAATACCCTCTCTGACTAGCTGTGTAATGCCTTTTAGCTTGAAGAGACTAAGGGGTGTGGATCCGTTTTGACTAATCTTAGTCGCTTGACCAGAGGATTCGCTTGGTTAGTGCTAGAAACGCATTTCTGCTCCTTGAGTAACATAACACCTGGGAAGGTGACTGCTGCAATTTTCCTGTCTTATCATGACCACCGATCCGAAACCAGATGATTGGACACGCCAAGCTCTAACTCCCCCTTCGGTAACTCATCATCGACGTCAGGACCGTCTATCAACCCGTGGGTTTATACAACGGCATTTTGCTACTCCGTACTTTTCCTTTTATCAATATCATGTAATATTGCTCTCTGTTATCAAGTACAGCTAAATTTGCAGCGGTTTATGGGGAAGCCTTACCGTCTGAGCGAAAGCATTTCAAGAGGAAATATATCCGTTTTCTTTTCAAATTTTAACTTATAAAAATAGGAAATAATGTGTTACAAGGCTATACATATTACGAGATCATCTCGTCTTGATCTCCAAGTGATGCACTCTGATGCCGAGCACAAGAGCAAATGAATTCTGGTGTCAAATCCCGACTAAATGAAGTGCTGGCACAGCTGACACCTCGTCACCGTAGACCGCGCGACACGCCACACGAGACATGTGCCACCGGTCGATTCCTACACCCGTCAACTGGGAAGAATTCAATCCCAATCGCGCATGACATGTTTGAGGCACGACGTCTTCTGGTCTTCATAGCAATCCTTCAGGCTGTCATTCTCCCTGCAATCCTGTTTGCCCACAGCGCCTCCCTCCTGCTTCTGTTCATTCTAGCAGTGTGTGCCATTCTTATTTTTCATTACCTTTGCTTTCTACGCTCCAAGCACGCAAAAGGTCAAAGCATAGGAGATGAATGGAATTCATAAAAATTAAGTTTGAGTCATGACACCTCTTCCCTTGGTTCCTTGATAATCTTAGTTCTGTGTTTGCGTAAATTTCTGCCCCCCACTATAGAAAGAGTACGAGTGATTCGACTTTATCGTAGGAAGCAAAGAGCAATATTTGTTTAGCTAAAAAAGGGAGCGAATGAAGAGGAAGAAGGGAAAAGGAAAGAAAGAGAAGTGTTGGAGGATGAAAGTAGCTTACTCGCCACTTTTGACCGGTGCTACAGTATCAAAAACAAAACTTGCTTTACTTCCTCTCTTGAAGCTTTTACGTGTACTTAATGTTCCGACCTTCTTACATGCGCATTCTTCCGGTTTGACAATAAGTAGCACCATCACATCATGCCCCAAACAGTCTACTGGTAGCGCATAAGAAGGTTACCCGCTGTAGGTGGATGAATTCTAAGACACTCTATGGAAGATACATAGAAGTAACCTGTCCTCCGTTAAATCATTCCGGCCTCGCGTGCAACGTAGAGTTAGAAGTCAATTCATGATCAAATCAACCTACAACACCAGCTATGAAATTTGTGAAGTAGTTTCAATGTTTAGACTTTACAATCACTCGATGAACAAATTTTTCCATGGTCAGAATGTCAGACCTAAATGAGTGAGAAATGTGAGGCATGGTTTTTGTTAGTGAAATAAGTACGGTGATAGGTGAGATGTAAACACATCTGACAACCACACTTGCACATCTCATTTCGCAATTTGCCACATTTGTTAGATACGACGCTATGGGGCCGATACCATGCAACACTGTGACATTCAAGAGGACTCCCGTCTTTATTTAGTATAACGCATTTTATGAATATATGCATAAGGTGACAACGCAGTAAGCCATTTTTAAACCAAATACGCCACTTCATTATTCGACTTGGTACAAAAAATTAAGTTTTTTTAGTTTATTTTTGTCAAAATAACAGCACTCTATTTAACACCAAGAAATGCACTTTTAAAGGGAGTGCTTTAAGAGAAAATATTGTTCAAAGCAATTCCTTAAAAACTCAAATAACTTTAAAAAAACATCTTTTATTAGCACAAATTCGTTAATCTGCTAGTCGAAATTCCTTTGTTTGCAAGAAAATTAGTTTATGACTCAAACCGCCAGGAATGTCACACCACCTAGACACCAGCCACTGCTATGATAAGAGGTTGATTTGTGGCAATTGGCAAGTTGGCTTTTGTAAGTTTGACATGTCTTCTTCATCTTCCATCAGATATCTAAGCAATTAGTCCAGACAAAGTGACAGAGTTAATGAAGCGTGATTTGACTGACGTTAATAATAACTTGCAATACTTTGGAGACTAAAATTTGGAAATCTGCGTAGGATTAAGGCGAACTGCTTTAGTTCCCTACACTCGACTCTAACTTTAATTTATTTAGTTCTTTTATTCTTTTGACGAGTTGGAAAGAGAACGATCTCGCAAAGCAGAGTGGTATGGTAGTGGACTGTTGAAATCTATGAAAAGTAGGGGAATAAAAGTGACACCGCATTTTCGTGCAA